ACGACATTAATTCACAACAAACTGGTGTCCGTGGAGAAGAAGATATCATCAACAAAGTATGAGATTGAGAAATTCACCAATGTGAATGATTTCGGCTTGTGGCGCTTGAAGATGCAAACCCTTCTTGTTCAATAGAGTTTGTTAGAAGCGTTAAAAAAATCAGAGAAGATGGATGTTGTCCTATTGATGAAGGGATGCCAATGATGCCCAAAAAAGCCCATATTGTCATTGTGTTAAGCCTTGATAATAAGGTTCTCCAGCAAGTTTCAAAGGAGAAAATTGCAGTTGGTGTGTGGACGAAACTTGAAGATTTTATATGATAAAATCATTGGTTAATTGTCTCTACCTGAAGCAAGCTTTGTATTCATTCAAGATGAGTGAATATAAAGCCTTGGATGAGCAGTTGGATATGTTCAACAAGTTGATTCTTGATCTAGAGAATATCAAGGTCAAGATTGATGATGAAGATCATACGTTACTGTTGTTGTGTTCTTTACCTAAGTCTCATGCTCACTTTAAAGAAACTCTCTTATATAGAAGAGATTTGCTGACCTTTGAAGATGTTCAATTTGCCTTGTACTCTAAGTATTTGAATGAATGAAAAGGAGCACAACCATATTCTGTTAGTGAAGGTTTGTTTGTTAATGGGAAATACTTGAAGAAATATGGTAGGTTTGAGAAGAAGAAGGTTAAAGTTCTACAAAATTCTTATGGCGCTAATGCTTCTACTGTAAAGTGTTATCATTGTAAGAAAGAGGGTCATACAAGAAATGTATTCCCTGAGCGAGTGAACAACCATGGTGGAAAGGATAATGGTAATGCAACCATTGTGCAAGATGGTTATGAATCATTTGATGTCCTGGTGGTTTCATGCAGTGAATCTAGCAAGGAGTGGATTATGGATTCAGGGTGTAATTGGCACATGACTCCAAACAAAGACGTGTTTGAGGAATTGTGTGATCAAGATGATAGATCAGTGTTGCTGGGAAATAACAAAGCTTTCAAAATTATAGGTATTGGATATGTGATATTCAAGCTCCATGATAAGTCAATAAGGCTATTGACTGATGTTAGGTATGTACCTGATCTTAAGATGAATTTGTTTTCTCTTGGTGAATTCGACAATAAAGGATATGTTTTCAAAGGAGAATAAAGCATCCTAAAGATAATGAAGGGGTCGAAGGAAGTCTTAAGAGCCATGAAGAAACAAGACTTGTATACCCTTGAGGATATGTTGAAGACTGAGCTATGGCACAAGAGACTTGGCCATGTCAGTGAAAGAGGTCTAGTCAAATTTTCGAAATAAAATCTGCTGGGTAGTGACAAGGTTGAAAAACTGGAGTTTTGTAAACCTTGTGTATTTGGTAAATCCTGTATAATGAAGTTTAACAAAGGTAAACAAAGAACACATGGATCCTTTGATTACATTCATGCTGATCTTTGAGGGTCTGCAAGTAATCTTTCACACTCAGCTGCAAAGTATTTTCTATCCATAGTTGATGATTACTCTAGAAAGTTATGGGTATTCATCCAGAAGACTAAAGATGAAAATTTTGAAAAGTTCAAAAGTTGGAAGATTCTGGTCGAAAACCAAACTAGCAGGAAGGTCAAGAGGTTGAGGACCGACAATGATCTTGAATTTTGCAACGAGGTTTACAACAGCTATTGTGTTGTGTATGGTATTGCAAGGCACAAAACTACTACATGGACTCCCAAAAAAAATGGTTTGGCTGAAAGGTCAATCGAACCATTTCAGAAAGGGTTAGGTGCATGTTGGTAAGTGCAGAATCGAAGAAGGTGTTTTGGGCATAAGTTGCTACGACTGCAACATACTTGATAAATAGGTGTCCTTTGACAGCCTTGGGAATGCAGACACCTGAAGAAGTCTGGTCGGGACATCCATCTAGTCTCAATAGACTTAGAGTATTAGGTTGTTTAGCCTATGCTCATATTAGGCAAGATAAGGTCGAACCTTGAGCTCTAAGATGTATGTTCCTTGGATACCATGAATGAGTCAAAGCTTATAAGCTGTAGTGCCTAGAGCCAGATCATAAGAGGTGTATCACGAGTCGAGATATGGTTTTCAATGAAGCTGAGTTGGCTTTCAAGAAAACAGATGACATTGGTCGAAGATCGAAGATCTCTGAAGAAGAGGTGGAACAGGAAGATATTCCCGTTGAGGTGGAGCATAATGATGCTGAATTGCACAACCTAGATAAAGTCAAAGAAGAATCTCAAGTTGCTGATGAAGATGAGGAGATTGATAATGACTACCTGTTGGTAAGAGACATGTCAAGAAGAGTCATCAAGCCACCTCAGAGACTTGGTTATGCAGATCTTATAGCTTATGCCTTAATCTCTGAAAGTGAGGTTCTAGACGAAGAACCTAGAGATTATAGGGAAGTTATGAGGATTCGAGACAAGACTAAATGGATGAAAGCCATGGGTGATGAGATAAAATCTCTTCATGATAATAACATTTGGGAGCTGATCGAGAAACCTGCAGGGGCCATGTTAGCCAGCTGTAAGTGGATCTTCAAGGTTAAGGAAGGAATCGAAGAAGTGACGTCGAAGCGTTTTAAGGCAAGGTTGGTTGCTATGGGGTTCACTCAGAAAGAAGGTGTCGACTTTAATGATGTGTTATCACCTGTTGTGGAGCATAGATCAGTTAGAATGTTGTTAGTAATGGTGGCAAAGATCGACCTAGAACTTGAGCAAATGGATGTGAAGATAACCTTCATATATGGTGATCTAGATGAAATAGTTCGGACGAGGAAACCTGAAGGGTATGCAGAAAAGGGAAAGGAAGATTATGTATGCAAGCAGAATAGGTCCTTGTATAGCCTGAAACAATCTCTTCGACAATGAAATACGAGATTTGACAAGTTCATGGCACACATTGGTTTCACTAGGAGTCAGTTCGACCACTGTGTTTACTTCATATTTCGACCTAGAAATTCACTTGTTATTTTGTTTCTTTATGTGGATGACATCCTCATAGCAAGCAACAATGTCAAAGATGTTATGAAGGTGAAGGTTGAACTCAATAAGGAGTTCAACATGAAGGATTTGAGGGCTTCCTCAAGAATTCTTGGGATTGACATCTGGAGAGATAGAAAGTAGTCGAGATTATGCTTATCTCAAGAGGCATACCTGAAGAAGATTATTGACTAGTTTTGTATGTTGAATTCAAAGTCTATTCTAACACTGACTAATCCTCAGCACAAGCTAAGTACGACTCAAAGTCCTAGTACTGAAGTTGAAAGAGCCTATATGAATAGCATTTCATATGTTAGTATAATAGGTTCTTTGATGTATGTTATGGCTTGTACGAGGCCAAACATAACATACGGAGTGAGCCTTGTAAGCATGTATATGGCCAATCTTGGGAAGATGCACTATCAAGCATTAAAGTGGATTATTATGTACATAAATGGGTCTCTGAGGCGAGTCTTGATTTATGGTGGAGCCTGTGGTGATGATAGCAAACTCGAAATCGAAGGATTTGTTAACTTTGATTATGCAGGTTGTATGGATTTCAGAAAGTCTATTTCTGGATGTGTGTTCGTTGTGTTTGGCATAACAATCAGTTGAAAAGAAACACTTCAGAAGGTTGTTTCCTTATCAACCACTAAAGTAGAGTATAAAACCCTTATTGAAGCTATGAAAGAAATATTATGGCTTGAAGGTTTTGCTAAGGAGCTGAAACCTCAAGGTTAAGTTATCACTGTTAAATGTGATAGTCAAATAACAATACACATGTCAAAGAATTCATCCTACCATGAGCAAACCAAGCACATCGATGTGAGACTACACTTTGTTAGAGAGATAATCGAGCATGGAGAAGTTCAAGTGCTGAAGGTTTTGACTGATGACAATACTGCTGATATGATAACCAAAACATTGTCAAGTAGCAAGTTTTTCCACTGTATGTAGTTGATAAAGCTGCATGATGAAAGCTAGTTTGTTCCCTTGTTATAGAGTTTGTTCCAAGGTGGAGATTTGTGGTATTTAGGTCGAACTCTAGTGTCGACAAAGGTAGCTTCGTGGTTCGACAGGAGTTGTGCATGTTATAGTCGAAGTATGTTCGAGTATAATGTTGAAATATATTAATTTGTAATTTAAGTTAGTATGTCAAATTAGACATTTCTTCTAAGCCAATTGTTAAGTTAACTTGTATCATAAGTTAGCTTAGTAGTATATAAATAGACTAGTTATCTGAGGTTAGTTGTTGATATTCACTTGTAATCTTTGAACCCTTACTCAGAAAGTGAATAGAAAGACAAATTAACCAAATCCTATTCTTCTTCTTCCTTCTTCTATCTCTTTTATAAAACCTAATAAGGTTTCTTATGTTCGTTCAAAAAACTCAAATCTTTTTCTCATATTTTTGTTTGTTCATGACAACATCAACTCACAACATGAAGTTTATTCAATCTTTTCTTTATACAATTGCACTCATTCATCTATATTACAGTATCTTCCTCTTTATAGGCTGAGATTGCTTGCATACCATGCAATCTCCAATTAACCTAACTAACTCAAGTAAAACAAACAAAGGTAAATCTTAAATTCTGTTGAGATACATTTTTTGACATTTCAACAATACTAAATGTTTTGATACTAACAATACTAAATGTTTCGATACTAACAAGCATTTTGATACTACTAAATGTTACGATACTAACAAGCATTTCGACAACTCTTTACTTCTGTCTAACAATATATTTCGATATAGAATTACATTCTCAAAAAAGCCTTGATTTATTAGTTAATTGAAGAAAGAGTACATGCCCTAATACTTGGAATGTAGATTATTGTATTTGAAAATATAGCTTAAAAATAGAGCTAAAAGAAATAAGAAATAGGTTGAATGGACCAAACCATACAACAACTTAAAAGAATCTAAATCCACGTCAAATGAACCCAGATCTCCTAAAGCAACTGCATGGTGACACTCATGAACGCCTAGACAACAGATAAGATAAGAAAAGCGTCAATTAAGTAGTCTTCATGAGTTTGGCTAATCCCATTCTCCTGTGTTCATGTTGAATAAAAGCCTCAGCCTCTTGATCAACACTTTCGTAAGTACTATTATTCCGGTGGCGAAACCTCGAATCTTGTCGATCAGCCTCATTCTCACGGCGAACTTTTTCATAGTATGATTGATTTGCCTCGGCTATTGACTCCTTGTATGTTGCAACATGATGGTTTTGATGATGATGATGATGCTGTGGGTAGGATGCAGGCTCCAAAATCTCATGGATATGACTCCACCCATAGTTGTTGTTTTGGTATGCCATTTCGAAACTCTTAGGTTGCTCTGTTGGAAAATTGGTTGCGGTTGTGTTGATTATGGATTGTTTTAATTTCAGCTTCTATATTTATAGTTTATTATTACACGTGTGATTAACTAGTTATTCGATAATGATATGAAAGAATCTAATGCCTCCATTGATTCAACCAATGCAACTTTTATTCGTTCAAAACCAACCAACCAAGTGTTTATCAATTTCGATTTTCCATTGTAATGATGTATATGATCAAAACTTAGTTGGAAGTTTTTATTTTTAATAACACTTTTAGTAAAGATAATGTTAATCGTTGGCTGCCTAATTGTTTAAGTTTTGAGAACTTTCAAAATTTTAACATCCGTTGAAGAAAAACAAATAGAAGTTTATTGTTTTTAGCCTTTGTTTTTTCATCTTTTGGTCAATAATGTTTTTAAGGAAGATTCGAATTTGAATTTTTTTAAATATATATTTTTATACCATTTCTTACATTAAATTGTATTTTATTGTTTATCAATATAAAGTGAATAATTATAATATTAAATATTTTTTTTTTAAGTATTGTAAGTATTGGTATATGATAATGGTATATATTTGTTTATTGGTATATGATAATGGTATATGATATTAAATATATTAAATATATTTTATTGTTTATTGTAAGTATTGGTATATGATAATGGTATATGAATAGCATTCCTAATTCTTTTAAACTGATCATCCTAAATTAAAATTTGTTTGCTTTTTGAACTGAATAAGTTACTAATGTTTTTAGTGTTTATGGTGAAATTTTAATAGCATAAATAATTACAAATTCTGATCTGTCTATATTTCGGACTGTCCCAATGGGTAGGCATGACCCAATCCATTTCTGCTTCCAAAACAACCCAATTAATGTCTAATTTCAACCACTTTGGGTGAAAAATTTACCTTTCTGCCCCTCTAATGGTGGAGGTTGGCCAATTTACCTTTGGCCACAACACTCCTCCCCGTTAGTCTCTGTTTGTCATGCACGGTTCTACCATCCAGAAACAGGAAAAACGCTTATGCCCGTAACTACGCTTTTGTCCATGCCAACGGCTAGTTATGGACACGTCTGTCCGTCCCAACGGCTAGTTCTGGCAGTTACCTATTCTTCGGGAAACAGTTATCTCGCCCCGAAAATAGGGACCAATGGCCAAGCGCTGGGGGAATTATATAAATCCTCTCACTTGAGAGGATCATGTATCCAATATTCACCCTGAACACACATATTCTGTATTTGCTCTCTCTTCCTCGTTTTCTTACTTTAGCATCGGAGTGCCTTGTAGGTACACCCCTCCCCCTCTTTCACACCCAGCATCACAGACGCTTGTCTCTGACCTACCTCAGGTTCTGATCAACTGGTAAGACCAGTGGCGCCGTCTGTGAAAATCTTCTTATCCCTGTCTTTTCTCTCTTCATAGAACACAAGACTAAAATAATTCTTCAAATTTCTGATCATGGCTACCCGTGACAATAATCTTGATGGTCGTAACTCAACTTTTTTCCCCGTTAGCAAGACTGATGATGATGAGGCCACCACCTCTCATGGCGGCAACATCCTCCGACAAAGGGACGAATCCACTACTTCCCCGTCCCCCGCGCATATAGATCACTGCGAGGTTCCTTTTGTCCCGCAACAACTGTCAATTCCAGTTCCGTCCAACGCCGACCCGACCATGGCGGCCCTCCTCAAGGTTCTCAACAAAACTAACCTCTTAATCACCAACCAGAACGCGAGGATTGAATCATTGGAAGAGTCTAGTCGTCCGAGATCCTCTCCGCCAAGGAAAGAACGTCAGCTACGAAGAAGTCCCCCTCCCTGGCTCGAGAGGACCGTCAGACGCCTCTAGAGCCAGAGACCCTGACCATCCGCAAACGCAACCAGATTTCTTCCTGAAACCAACATTCCCACAACCCAAGAGGACCAGAAGAGGCCACCAGGCAGAATCCCAAGTTCGCCTCCGTCCAGATCTAAGGATCGAGCACGAACCTCGTATCCCCGACGAGACCGTCGTCCTGCCTACAGACGGGACGCCCGCTCCCCATCTTCGACCAGCAGCAGCAGCGACGACGAGCCTCACGACCCGTTGTTCTAGGAGATCATGACCATGCGCCTCCCAAAAGGACTAGAGAAACCTCCCTCGCTAGGCACATACGACGGAACAACTGACTCCGACGAGCACATCAAAAACATTGATGCGCTGCTTGACTATTGCGGCTAATTTATGCCAAATGCTCCTACCAGGTGTGCCAATTTGTTTACTTTGAAATTTGGTAAATAAATACAAGTTTGATTTTACTTAAGGGATCAAAATGTACAAAATTCTACGACAGATTGTGCAAAAATTATGAGTTTGAAACATATTTAACGTTAAAGTCGAATTTAAAGAAAAACTTGAAAATAACTTTTGATGCAGTAAATGACTTAAAAAATAAGGAATTTAATTCATGAAGTGAGAACGGAAATACTTACATTTTCATATCACTCTTTTCTGACTAAACACTCGGGTACTTCGAGTTTGTATAATTTGTGTGAAATTGCGGATCCCTAAAACTACAAACAAACATTGCTTATATACTAGTCCTAATGTAACCATCTACAACGGTCGACTCAGCAAACTGCACAATTTTCCCAATGCCATAAAACCTTCACCTCTTCAAGCTCTACACATGTTCTTGGATAATATAATCTTATTTGTTCGTGCCTTGTTCAACTGCGTGAAGATAGTAGTATCAACATTGAAACCCCAAATTTCACTAAGTCTAAAACTTACGTATCACTGATCTTTAAAGCTAATTGCTTGAAAGTTCAACCAAAGTCACCACCACCCTTCTACAAGAGAAATTCGCCAAAATGCATATCTGATTCCATGGTCGTAACTAACCACTTCGACCTAGGTAAAATCCAAGTCATCAAACAATCTTCCGAAGTTGTCAAATTCTCACATCCAAAGTTTATGTTGAAAATTCGAGGTAACACAATCATATACTAACATGAAGAATATATTTCACTTTAAATTAAAACATTCGAATAATTTCACATGTCAAAAATCAGGTTGAAAACTTATGGCTAGGGATGGGAATAGATCAGGCCGACCTACATGAGCCTATAACCGTTATTTAAGGTCAGGCCAGACCAAACCTATTTAATAAAAAAGTCAGGCTTATGCTTTTTTAAAATTCTATTTAATTAAATAGGACAAACTTAGGCTATTAGAAAAGTCTTTGAAGCCTTATAGGGCGGCCTAGATTTTCATATATATTAAAAATAGTCTAAATAGGTTGAGCTATATAGGCATATATATTAGAAAAAATGCTAAATAGGTTGGCTTACATATGCATATATATTAGAAAGAAATGCTAAATAGGTCGACCTATATCTGCATATATAGACCAACGTATAAGACTTGTTGACTAATATGGATTATTTGAAAACCTTAACAAGAAACAAGTTGTTAAATAGTCTTTCAGGCCAGACTAGACTTTTAAAAATGTCAGGTCAGACAAAAAAAGAGAGCCTATAGTAGGTCATTGATCAGGCTTAGGCCTTGTAAGTTTATCGTAGGTCAGACTCATGGCTTCTAAAACCTAGTCTAGCCTAACCTATTTTTACCCCTATTTATGACAGAACTTCCATGTTGGCAGAAAATTTTCCAACCACTGACATAATCTCACACCTTGTGTAATCTTGATTGTATCTACACATCTTTGACTCGAACTTTTTACATGTCAAAAATAATTTTTTCATCAATTATTTCACAACAAAACTTGTTATTGTAATTCAATAACTCTTTCACAACGCCATCTTTCTTTGTTGACATAGAAGATCAGACAAAACTACAATCACCCCAAATCTAAGTACACCTACACATCCCAAAGAATTGTCTAATTAAATACCATATTTGACACAAAAGTATAAGAAAAGAAAAAGTCAAATAAAAATTTAAAATATTTTAGCTAATGTATTTTATAACAAAGAACTTGAATCTTTTATATAATTTTAATTTTTTTTTTCTTTTACAAAACTAAATGATGAAGAATTTATTTAACATATATATTTTTAATCAACTCCAACATTGAAACTCGAATGATTAGAAAAACTTTTACAATGAAAAAGTAAGGCCTTGATTTATTAATTAATTGTATTTGAAACTATAGCTTAAAATAGAGCTAAAGAAATGAGAAATAAGTTGAATGGACAGATTCATACAACAATTTTAAAGAATCCAAATCGACATCAAATGAACAGAGATCTCCTACAGCAACTGCATGGTGACACTCATGAAGGCCTAGACAAATAAGAATAAAAAAAAAGGGTCAATTAAGTAGTCTTCATGAGTTTGGCTAATCCCATTCTCCTATGTTCATGTTGAATAAAAGCCTCAGCCTCTTGATCAACACTTTCATAAGTACTATTATCCCGGTGGCGAAACCTCGAATCTTGTCGGTCGGCCTCATTCTCACGACGAACCTTTTCATAGTAAGATTGGTTTGCCGTGGCTGTAGGTTCCTTGTATGTTGTAACATAATGGTTTTGATGATGATGATGATGTCGTGGGTAGGATGCAGGCTCTAAAATCTCATGGATATGACTCCACCCATAGTTGTTGTTTTGGTATGCCATTTCGAAACTCTTAGGTTGCTCTGTCGGAAAATTGGCTGCAGTTGTGTTGATTTTGGATTGTTTTAATTTCAGCTTCTATATTTATAGTTTATTATTACACGTGTGGTTGATTAGTTATTCGATAATGATATGAATGAATCTAATGCGTCCATTACTGATTCAACCAATACAACTTTTATTCGTTCAAAACAAACGAAGTGTATATATGATCAAGACTTTTACTGGAAGGTTTTCTTTTTAATCACACTTTTTTTTAGTTAAGAAAATGTTAATCGTTGGCGGCTTAACTGTTTAAGTTTTGAGAACTTTCAAAATTTTAACATCTGTTGAAGAAAACTAAATAGAAATTTGTTGTGTTTTTTTT